GTGCAATCTTAGTCCTAAGGCAGTCTGCTGGAGAATTTTCTCTTGCCTGAAGAAAGCTGATCTTTATTCTATTCAGATGTTCAACTGATTGGCTACAATCCACTGACATTATGAAGGACAATCTGCTTTATACAATTCTATGGTTCAAATGTCAACTTCATCCCAATAATGTCCTCATCGAAACATTCATAATAATGTGTGACAGAATATGTGGGTACCTATGGCCAGTCTCATTGACACATAAAATTAACCACCATAGTACCTAAGAGCACCCTTGGCAGCTGTGCCATAAAAGAGGAGAAATGAAACCCTCTCCTTGCAACATCCTTCCAACCCCCTCTACCCGCAGAGGTTAACATGGTGCTAGCTGGAGAAGGAGAAATGTACAGGTTGCTGTGGTTTGAATGTGTTCCCCTCAAAACTGAGGCATTGCAATAAGATAGTATTAATAGTCTCATGATTAGGCCATGAGAGGTCTACTTCATAAATGTGATTAGTGCTCTTACAAGAAAGGTGCTTCATGCCATGTGTGGCTATTTTGTCCTTCTGCCATATGAAAATACCAAAAAGCCCTTACCAAAAAAGAAATACCAGCACCTTAATCTCAGACTTCCCAGCTTCCAGAACTGAAAAATTTTTGTTCTTTATAAATTAAATAATAAATGAGGGCTGGGGGCTATGGCTCAGTGGTAGAGCACTTGCCTAGCACATGTGAAGTGCTGAGTTCGATCCTCAGCACCACATAAAAATAAATAAACAAAGGTATTGCGTCCATCTAAAAAAAAAAAAAAAAACAATAAAAAAAACCCAAATAATTAAAGTATCTCCTTTTTGTACATCTAGTATGGCTAGTTCAGTAGTTTATCAAATTTCACGATTAAAACTTACCTCCAAGTTGTTTTATTCAAATTTCACATATCTGAGTATATCATGTATAAGACAACAAATACTTGCAGAAGATGTGTTGTGATGTATTTTAACCTTCAAGATTGTAAAGTTGCTGTTTATACTCTGGGGCATTATAATCTAAGTGAATTTGGGGGAACACTTTAGTGGAAGATAATCTCAAAAATATGCATGATTTTAAATTTAATAAATTATCAGAACATGATCATTATCGTAATAAATTTGATGCCAGTTGTTAAATAATTACTTATGGGCAAGCATCAGTTTGTAAATTTTGCAAAATGATGACAGGAAACACATAAAATCTACACTGAAAATGGGTAATGAGAGGCTTTGAGTTATCAGAAGGAAGTGTGAAAGTGTTGGGTACTTGAAAGACGGAAGGGTACAGCTAAAGACGACAGGGGTCAAGGACACATGCATCATACTTTGAAACTTTACCAAGGGTCACCAAACCATGTGGCAAACTCTTGGTCTCCCTCTGCCACAGTTGTTATCAATTCTTTGTAACTCTGATGATGCTCTCCATAGTTCAGGTTTGAACTTTGCCTGTAAGAAACTATACACTGTGTACTGGTTTTGTAATGTAGCTTTAATCTTTAAAGAGATCAAAAACAGACTCTGTAGCTGAACATGATGGCACATACCTGTAATCCCAGTGGCTTGGGAGGCTGAGGCAGGAGGATCCAGAGTTCAAAGCAAGCATCAGCAAAAGCAAGGCACTAAGCAACTAAGTGAGACCCTGTCTCTAAATAAAATACAAAAAAATAGGACTGGGGATGTGGCTCAGTGGTCCAGTGCCCCAGAGTTCAATCCCTGGTCTCCCGTAACCCCCCCCCCCCCCGCCAAAAAAAAAACAGAGCCTATAGTAGCCAGTGTTCAGCTGACTTATAGTAATGATGAAACACAGACTAATAATCCAATTATACCAAAGAAAAAGTGTCAGTTCTATTAGAAAATCTTGACACAAGAACTGTTACAGCTATATCCGTATTAGTTTCATGAAAGTAATGACAGGAAAGAGATCAGAATTTAGTTTTTCACTAATTATTTTTTAAAATTTTTTAGTTGAACATGGACACAGTATCTTTGTTTTATTTATTTACTTATTTTATGTGATGCTGAGGATCAAACCCGGTGCCTCACATGTGCAAGGCAAGTGCTCTACCACTGAGCCACAACCTTAGCCCCTCACTAATTATTAATAAAGCATGAATAAGACAATTTAGTCCATTAGTAAGAGTTTGCTTTTTATTTTAAGAAGTTCTTTACCTGTACTGTCTAATTGAATAGAACATCAGTTCTGCTAAGCAGATGGCATTACCTTCACTCAGTAGAGGACATAACCAGAGAGAGGTTTTAGTGGTTTATCAAAGTTTACACCAGATACTATCAGAAAAGTTTCAAATGCAGATTTTCTAGCTCCAGATCCAATTTTATTTATAACACAGCAAATTGTAAATTAAACTAGCCAACATTTCTTAACTTGAGGCCTATGAGTCCATTGAAAATGTGTACAACATTTTGGAGTGTGTGTGATGAAAGTAGTGGTGTGGAAATCTTTCAAATAATCAAAGGAATTAATGATCAAAAATGCTCAGAACCACTGACCAATTCCTGTAAATTCTTGAAACAGAGATCATGTCTTAGTCACAATTGTATCCCTTGTACTACTATAATGAAAGGAGGCAAGGACTCAATAAACTCGGTATGAATAACATGTCAAAAAATTACTTTTCTAATGTTATTTGTGTAACATTAAATCTTTAAATTTTCCTTTACATTGATTAATAGCAGATGTAGACATTCTACACATTATCCTAAAATTTTGGTATAATAAGCATTTGAATTAGATCATCACTGTATTTTATTAAGGGTTGCAGGTGCCAAACAGCACCTGAGGTAAAAACAACATATAAGCAAAAAAAAAAAAAAAAAAAAAAAAACAAATAGGAATCAAGAAAATTGAAAACACAAAAGAGACAAAAAAAAAAAAAAAAAAAGAAAGAAAAAGAAAAAAGGTTTTCACATTGATAAAAGGTACAACCTACAGTATAAGAATAATGATTTTTAGATATTAACTAACAAATTCTATAAAACAATTGATTTTAAATGAGGATAAATAGAGTTGAAAATAGCAAGAGACAACCCAATACTATCAGGTACAATATAGGACAAGTACACACAAAAAGATATGGATTTTATTTCAAATATAATTAACAATAATAAATTTGGTCATGAATCCAATGCCATATATTGAAGTATATACTGTGCTTCTTTGTCTAGGATTCATGAGATATTTTCAAATATCAGTAATAAATGAAACTTCAGTAATATCCAAAAGGAAAAAAATTGCATAGATAACATTCTCTAGTCCAAATTTATGACTGGAAATTAATGCTGACAAACTAGGAAGACATTCCAACTACCTAAAAATTTAATCTCTTTAAATTGAGGTTAGGATTATATGGAAAGCAACTGTGTAACTCTACTATGTCTTTTATAAGTAACTCAAAATTTCACTTAATGGAGCTTAATGGAGTATAAAAAAAACTTAAATCAACAGCATCATGTATACATCTGAATCTTTATGCAGTACGAGAAAATACTTAGAAGTGAAATGTCAGCCAGCAAACATGGACTCTCTGGAAAGGGCACAAAAGTTAAGAACAAGGGGTGAGAAATCCAAAAGGACTGGGTTCAAATCTGTCTCCAATTCTAACTGCCTTTAGTCATTTCATTTGTAAAATAGTAATTTAAACAAAAACTTTATAAATTTGCGATGGAATACAGCGTGTTCCAAAGTGCCTTGCTCACAATAAGCACTTAATTCAGTGTACCCATCACTAGTAAAAACAGGATCCCGCTGGGGGAACACTAGTAATGTTTCCTTGATTAGATAACATCTGCTGTCCAAGAACCAGGACGTTCTTAACGTTAGACACGGACACTACTACGGTAAGGAAACTCTTGGAGCAACCGGCCATCCGCCTTCCGCGGAGCTAAGTGGCCCTTTCCACGTTTAGAAATGCTACAGCTGGAGGTGTTTAGTGTTGCTAAGCCCTCCTTTTGGGGGAAGAGAGCCGGGCGAGTGTCCTAAGCCGCACCGAATTCAGTCCCTGTCTCGCCTTACTAGCGGCCCCTGCTGGCCCTTACGTCTGCAGTTCTCCGGGTGCTCAGCCCTTTCCTAGCCTAGATAGAGCGGCCTCAACAGGCCACCCCTTTACCGGCTGCACTGCGTGGTCACACGGCAGGATCACACCACTACAGAGCTCTCTCGCCCACCTCCTTCTAGAGCACCGCGAGAGACTCTTAGCAAAGAGTTCAATCAAAATCCTGGGCTTGTCTCCTATCGGTAATGGGTCGCGTGTGACAATCTCCTGAGCGGTTCTGACCACTAGCACATGGTGGCCTCGGACTCCCGGCAACTTCAGTACAGGTGGAGAAGACCTGGATTTTCTTGCCCGCAGGAGACGTGGCGCCCGCCCGCTCTAGGACCCCCACCCGCCGTGCAGCTGACTTTACAATGCAGCTAACCCAAGGGAACTGCAGAGACTCCCGAACTTCGGCCGGGTCTTGGGTTTCGCCTCGCTTTGCCGCCTAACATCTAGCTGTGCTAGGTCACCTCTCACTCTAAACTTCAGCAAAGGAATAAAACATTCACGCCCGGAAAGACTCTTAACGCGCCACACCCGAGTGGCATCTGGCGCTGAAAGGTTATGGCGGCTTCTTCCCGTAATACACCGCGACCACTCGCCTCTGCGCCTACCCGGTGGGTTACAACGCGAGAACCCGCCCCTGACGCCAGATGCTTCTATCCAATGGGAAGGGGCAAGTCGGCTCACCCTTATTTACATACCAACCACTATATATACCCTGGGAGGGAGGATTGAGGCGCCAAGAGCTTAACTGCTCTTAAGACATAGGTCTGCTAACGTGGACGTCTACGCTCAAGTTGCCTGTGGCGCCCCCCCCAGGAGTCACTTCCCAGGCTGTCCAAGGCAGAGGGGACCCCAGCCCATAGACTTAATGCTTTTGGCCAACTTATGTCACACCTAACCCAGAGCAATTGCCTCCGCTGCAAACGTCCCATATCTAAGACACCGCTCTACCGTACCCAACCTGATGCTTGCAGGGTGGTGTTTACAGCTCTTTTCTTGACGTTTTGGGGCCCTGAAAAGGGCCTTTGAGTGGAGGGGGCGCTGTGGAGACAGCTCAACCGCCAAAGCCGTACAGAGTGCGGCCCTGGCGTTTCAGAGCGTAGACCACGTCCATGGCGGTCACTGTCTTGCGTTTAGCATGCTCCGTGTAAGTCACCGCATCGCGAATCACGTTCTCCAGAAAAACTTTGAGAACTCCTCGGGTCTCTTCGTATATCAGCCCAGAGATGCGCTTGACGCCCCCACGACGGGCCAGGCGGCGAATAGCTGGCTTCGTAATGCCTTGGATGTTATCTCGCAAGACCTTCCGGTGGCGCTTGGCGCCTCCTTTCCCAAGCCCTTTGCCTCCTTTCCCGCGTCCAGACATCTCAAAAGCACTACAGCACAGTCAAACTAAAAGAGCAGCAGTGAGCAGGTCTGAGTCACGGTTGGAGTTTATATTTCCTTGTAGCGGACCTGTTTGAAGACCTCAGGGAAGTGGGAGGGGCTCCAGGCCCCGCCTTTGAAGCTTTCTTTTAATCACTGCCATTTTAGAAAAGTAGTTAGCAAAATAAAGCCGATTTCCTTTTGTTTGCTTTTTTTAGTTTTTAAAAATATTTTTGAAAAATTTGCCATGAATTTGAAGACGGATTCACAGTGTTATATTTGAAGGTTTAAACAATATAAGATAATAGAATTTGTATTGCCCTTTCTCACCGCTTAGATAAAAAGCAGACGGATTCTATGCTTGCTTGTTCTCTGACTCTGACTCTCCCTTCTTCTCAGCTCCGGCTAATTCTGTTGTTTATTTGATTATTGTTTTCCAAACGGAATGCTTATGCTTATGATACCATAAGCTTATGCTTATGAACTAGTGAAAATAAATAAAACTAGAAACACTTTACATCTTATAGCAATTACTTTACAGATACTCGTGTTATCTTTTTAAAAATACTACAGTGAAAATATTTTGATGGTTCTCTCTCTCTCTCTTTAAAAGATGAATTAAAAGAGACTTGAAAACACTGCCTGTATGATAGGGAAAAATCCTGAGTGGTTAAATTAAACAACCTGATTGTAAAGCCTTGACTCAAGTTAGAATTCTTTTACTAAAATAAAAGGAATGCCACAGTAATTTTTTTAAATTTTGTTTAAAATTTCCCATGATACAGGCAAAAATTTATGCTAGTTTACAGAATGCATTCCAGGAACATCTTGTTGAATCTGCATCAGATGTGTATGTGTTTTAATTTAGCACACAGTTATTGGATGCTCACTGATGTATTTAAACTTCAAAACACTATGAGATGGGTATAGAGTTTAAATAACTATGAAAGATAAGTGGTAAAACCAGGATTTGGAGGTGGCAGTCTGGTGCAGGATGACGGCCTCAACCTTGACAATATTCTTCTCAGTTTCAAAAACACGTGTTTGCCAGTAAGGTACATATACATAAATACACGTAAACATTATTTCAACGAAATAAAAATCTTTAGTAGGACAATGAATAGTCACATTTGTTTCACTTTTACATGGATGCTAAAATCCACATAAATTTTATTTTAATATACAAGTGTTTAATATTACATAGCCATGTAATTATAAAATGTAACAAATGTTAAGGTAAATGAAAGTACCTTAATAATTAGTAGAAAGTAATTTGTAATGAAAACAAAAACCCACCCTTACGTTGTTTCAAATGTTATTGTCTGAGATTGGGTAGATCCGGCCGGAGTTCATCAAGACGTGAGCCCAGGTGTTGGGACCTACAGAAAGCAAGCCAAGGCCAAGACTTTAAGCCTCAGCAACCGAACTGTGCTTGCATCTCTCGCATGAAATCCAGTGGCTCTTCCTATCCCACCAGTACAGAAAGCACTTCTGTCTTATCTATAACTCTTAGTTTCAGAGCCTCAGAAGGGTAAGACTGGCTGCCTGTGAGCGGCAGAACTTTGAGGGAAGACCAGTGTCCACTGGTTTAATTACGAAGGTTCATATGTCCAACTACTAACAAAGCCTCTTTTGGAGCCAGCTCCCCAGACTGTTGGGTAAAAGGAAGCAAGGTGCTGGTATAAAGGAAGAGGCAACCTACCCCGTACTGGGCAGGCAGAATTCGGCTAGAGTCTGTGATTTCGCTGCAGGAGCAGTGTTATCACAAGCACGGGCTTTGGAGTCAGATGACAACTTAAAAATGCTGAATTATTACACGAGAAAATCCACCTAGAGAACACAGGAACTTGACATCTTTCGGATTCTTTTTGTTTCCAATCGTGTTATTTAGGTGCTGGGGATTGAACCCAGGGCCTTGTGCATGCGAGGCAAGCACTCTACTAACTAAACTATATCCCCAGCCTAAGTTATCTTATTTATTAAGGGTTTCTCTTCCTGGGAGCAAGCGTGAATGTTAAAAACTCAGCATCCACTGAGCACATTCAGGCCCGCTGCAGCGGTGCTTTCAGGCCCAGGGGTATTAGTATGAGCGGCTATGTAAATGAGGACTAGAAGTTTGCGCTTCTGATTGGAGGAAGTCGGCGCAGGCGTTTCCTTTGCCAGCTCTCTAGTTGGGCGCGGACTCCGTCTGTCATTGGCCCGCAGAGCCGGGGCGCCCAATAGGAAGGCGTTGCCTAGTGGCCACCGAGAGTTTCTAGAGGCAGTTCGGTGTGGTAGGCTGCATTCCCATAGCGATCCTGCTGGTGTGATTTCCCTCACTGGAGTTTCAGGCGAGAAGTGAACATGTCCGGTCGTGGAAAGCAGGGTGGGAAAGTGCGGGCAAAAGCCAAATCCCGCTCCTCCCGCGCGGGCCTGCAGTTCCCGGTGGGCCGAGTGCATAGACTACTGCGCAAAGGTAACTACGCGGAGCGAGTAGGCGCTGGGGCGCCCGTGTACCTGGCGGCGGTGTTGGAGTACCTGACGGCCGAGATCCTGGAGTTGGCTGGCAACGCGGCGCGTGACAATAAGAAGACTAGGATAATCCCTCGCCACCTGCAGCTGGCCATCCGCAACGACGAGGAACTAAACAAGCTGCTGGGGAAAGTGACCATCGCTCAGGGCGGCGTCCTGCCCAACATCCAGGCTGTGTTGCTGCCCAAGAAGACCGAGAGTCAGAAGGTGAAGAGCAAGTGACCCTGACGCCACCATGGGAAAGCTGACTTCCCCAGCAGAGGCTCTTTCCAGAGCGGTCCCGCAGTGTTTTTGATTGTGCTGAATGTCATGGAGGGCCAGTACGATCTAGCGGGGAGAGGGGGCAGTGAGGAGCCCGCCGGAGTCGGGAGCCAATAAAGTCGGTGAAAATCCAGTAGTCGAGAGAGCTGTGTAGTCGCGGGACCTACCGGATGACCCCGGGGTGGGGGGTGGGGGCGCGACCGGAAACCTCTGGAGCAGGTACTGGTCAGTCGGCTGGAGCCCCTCCGAACGCTCGGATCCGCAGATAGATCCCCCTCGAGGCGTTGAGGGAGGATGAGGGTAACCCAGAGGGTTCCAGTGGTCTGGAGATGGCAGGGTTGGGATCTCCCCTACTTGCATTAAGGCAAAGGAGAGGCGGACTAGGTGCGGTGCGGCCTACTCTGGCATTTTACTTCCCGTTTCCAAGGCTTCAGCCATTTGTAAGCGATCAAGACTAAGCTATAAGGAGAATCATGGGGCTGAGCTGGTTTCGGTTAGGAAGTTGTTTCTGGACATAATTTTCAAAAGATGGAGTAACTTCCCTTTGAAGTGTGGCCCTGGTGACACGGTATCAATTTAAGATTCTTTCTTAATAGCTCTTATGTTTTTCATGTTCTGGATGTCAAGTATCACAACCTAGCACCCTTATGTTCTCATTTCTTTAAAATGAAGGAAACATTCAGTAATTTGTGTAATACAGAAGTATGAGTCAGGAGGGTGGTAATGTTTTCCTGACACGTTGCATAACAGTGGAATCTTTAATCTGGATTTAGAAATGCTTACAAGCTTTTAAAATTATTTTCTCAAATGTTGGCTTCTTAGTGGTCTTGTCTCCATGTTAGGCTCTTTGGGAAATGACTTGACTTTGCTCAATTACAAAACAAAACAAAACCCTGGCTTTTAAGGATTACACTTACTCAACAAATAACTTACTTAAAATTCCTGTTCTCCGTGAAGTAATGACCCCATTCCAGTAACCCTGTAGGAATTGTGATTCTTACTGGCTCAGCATTACTTTAATAAATAAGCAAGGAAAAGTAAGGCCACAGGATTTAAATACAGGGAAAAACACATTGCAGGCTGAGACTCAACACTCAAAAGTTCAACATTAGTAATTCTCTTCTGCTCTTGGGTTGACCCTTCCATTTCATCCTTCTGAGCAAGCTTCATACTGGCCCACAGGACTCATAAAAAAGATCCCACCTTAGATTTCACATTTATAGATTCATCTTTTCTGTGAGAGTTGAAGTAGTCCTGGGGGGAGGGTGGGTTGTAAGAAATGGGGTAGCAGTGACTGGCCCATTTTCCCTCCTGGACTATTTCATCCCCAATCCTTATTGAACATCTGTGCCATTCTGTGTACTAAGTGATGAGGGTACAGCTATCAATGAGGTCAACCAGACTTATACTCTCTTGGAACTCCCTTCCTCCCCACCCCCCTTAGTACTAAGGACAAGATAAGAAACAAATAAATAATATTATAGATGAGCTTTGGTTAGTACTTGTGTCTTTTGCTGTTTGTTGAGTGGATATTGGAATTACTTTTCCCCTGTGGTCATCTTTGAGTTGTACAAAGATGTCACATGTACATTTTAGGAGGCAGTTATTGCTTCCTAATACCTGAGAAATAGATTCCAATGACACCATGAGTTGTTCCAGGATTTCCAGCTGTTGACTCTACTCCTTACCTTCCTTTCAAAGGATTTCCTCATATGTAAAATAGTCATGATACCTGTTTTGAGGATCAAGACTGTCTACTTACTATGTGCTATATATTAGTTACTTAAATTGAAAGAAGTACCATTTCCTATAAAGGGTGGGTTTCCACTTACAGAATAAGTTATAGATAAGCATGCTACTAGTATTTAAAAAAAAAAAAAAACAGCACAAACTGAATTGTCAGAATTAATTCTCGGTGATACCACTTGGGGGCAGTGAAGCAAAAAAAATTATGTAATTTTACACACACACACACACACACACAYAYAYATATATATATATATATATATATATATATATATACACATGCACAATCAACCCTCTATTCATGGATGGGTTTCCACATCTGTTGATTCAGTCAAATGAGAAATATTTAGAAAAAAAAATCTACTGAACATAAAGACTTTTTTTCTTGTCAACATTCCCTAAACAATGTAACAACTACATTGTATTGAGTACTATAAGTAATCTTAAATGCTTTAAATTATACAGGAGGATGTGAATATGTTAAAGGGACTT